GGGCTGAGAAGTCTGGAACTTGCTACTGCTGCCAGTGATTCAGTCACCCCAAGGCCTGTTCCTGGTTTGCTGGGTCCAGTCTGTGCTGGTGTGGCCTATGCTCCTCCCTCACTCTGGTGCAACAGACTTTTCCTACCGACTTTCCAAGTTGTCTTTGGCTGGAAATTTGTTTCACTCCATCTCTTTGTGGCTTCTGCTGCTCTAGAATTTGTTTGGTCATTTTTTAAAGGTATTTGGAGGGGTTTGGGGAAAGCTCAGGCAAGTCTCTGCCTTTACTCCACTGTCTTGGTTCAAGTTCAGTTTTTCTTGAAGGACATTACTGATAATTAGATTGCATTAACTCTCCTTATCTTGATCAGACCAATAGCAACCATTCCTATGCCCAGTGCTAGTACAGGGATTTCTTGGCATCTTTTTGCCCAAGAGTTCAGTCCCCTTACTAACTTTAGGTGCCAGTCTATTTCCCACCATTGCTGCAATTGCCATACTGCTTCCACTTGTCTATCAGCTCTGTTACTGCAATGTGCTCCTAGCCACCCTCCACCCCTACCCCAGTGTCTGCAGACCTGTCTTCCCAAGCCATCCTAGGCTGGAAAAATGATTCATTGTGACTTCTTAGTTTTCTTGATCAGAATTTAGTTTGGCACCTTTCCTAGGTTGTTGTGGAGTGTCTTGGGAGAGACAAGCAAAAATACTGGTTCTTACTCTGCCATCTTGACTTTGCCCTGCTTCCCCCCATTTTTCTTTTCTTTTTTAAAATGCCTTTGGTATAAGGGATAGCTCTCTGAAAGAGGGGAAGGATACAGGTAATATAAAAAGTCAGTAAAAATCTATTTACCAAAAAAAAAAAGAAGAAAATAAATAAGAGGGGATGACTGATAGAATAAGTCCCAGTACAGTAGTATCAATAACACAAATAGGGATGAAGGAAGGGCGGGAGAATGGGTAGTGTTGCTAGAAGTTTTAAATGCAAAAACAGAATTAAGGGACAAGTCAGATGGCCTCAATCTTCTCTGAAATGACTAAGTTAACTGCTTATGTATAAAAGTATAGTTGGGAGCCTAATTGAGAAAAAAGTGGACATTACTATGGAAATCAGCTTAGAGAGTCAATAAAAGTAGAGCAGGACTGTCAAGCAGCAGCAGTAAGGACCTAGCTAAATTCATGAATTTCCAATGGATCCAAGGAAAGGATGCTTCCTTAAAAGGAAAATCTTTGTTCCAGGAAGCTAGGTGGTGCAATGGATAGAGTGCTGGCTCTGGAATCAGAAGGACCTGAGTTCAAATCTGGCCTCAGACACCTATTAGTTATGTGACCTTGGGCAAGTCACTTAATCCTATTTGCCTCAGTTTCCTCATCTGTAAAATGATCTGGAGAAGGAAATGGCAAGCCACTCCAGAATTTTTGCCAAAAAAATCCAAATGGGATCATGAAAAATCAGACAAAGTAATTGACTAGACAACAGTTGTGATTAGAGTTTTCTTTCATAATATAACTATTATGGAAGTGTTTTGCATGACTACACATGTATAACCTATATCTGAATTGCTTGCCTTCTCAATGAGGGTTGGCAGGGAGGGAGAGAATTTGGAACTTAAAGTTTTAAAAATAAATGTTAAAATTTGTTTTTACATGTCACTGGGGAAAAATAAAATACTAAATAAAGAATTGTGATTAGACCATACTTGCAATATCATGTTAACTTCTGGGTGTAACATTTCAGAAAGGATGACAAAATGACCACTGTTCAGACAAAGGCAGCCAGGATTCTAAGGGCTGTCATGTAAAAGAGGATTAGATTCAATATCCCTGGCACAATTACAAATCCCTGTAAAAGTTACAGAAAAACAATTTCACGCCTAGTAAAAGGGAGAATTTCCTAACCAAAAAAAAAAAAATCAAAAGTGGAAAGGTCCCCCTCTCACTAGAGATCTTCAAATGAGTTCTTTGGAAAGAAGTTACAGAAGAATGCATTTTTGTATTGGTATAGGTTTGATTCTGAGGTCCTTAGTTTCTGAAATCCTTTCCAGCACCTGAGACTCTGATACAACATCAGAGTTAGTTGAGGTCATCAAACAAACAAATCTAACAACTGACAGAAGTAGTTAAAATTATTCAATCTGGCATTTTTACAAATTCTTTAAGAAAAATCAAGAGGTATAGTTAGAATATGCAGCACACATCAAAACTATCACTATTTTTATTGGACTCCCTTGACATTTTGACAGCCTTCTTGCAGACCAGAGCCCTTATCTTGAGTTAACCCTTTCAGTTCTGGAACTCCCAACCTGGGGGCCCTGATGTTGTCTGACAAGTTCCTCCCCAGGCCCATTATTTCAGGTGAGCCCCAGCTATGCTTCACTTTACTCCCTCCCTACTCCTTCTTCATCTTGCTGGATGCCTTGCTATGTACCTATCTTCATACCTCTCAAATTCCAGAACCATAGTCAATACTGTCACTACTAATAGGAAGTGTCAATCTACTCCCAAATAGTACCCTCACCAAAATACCCCTCAATGACCACCACTTTCCTATATGCGTTCTCTATTAGAATGCAAGTCTCCTGGGAGCAGGGACTGTCTTCATTTTTGCATTGTATCCCCAGTGATTAGCAAAGTACTTGGTATATAGGAAGGGCTTAATTTTTTTTCATTCATTCTAGGTTTACTTGACCTATTTTGTCTCATCCTGATGACTTAGTCTTCACATTCAACCCTCTCATTTCTATTCCTGGGATTTTCTTTTGAATTACCTGGCTAGGGGCAGCTAGGTGGCACAGTGGTTAGAGCTCTGGCCTTGGAGTCAGGAGGACCTGAGTTCAAATCCAGCCTCAGACACATAACACTCACCAGCTGTGTGACCCTGGGCAAGTCACTTAACCCCACTGCCTCATCAAAAAAGAGAAAAATAAAATGAATTACCTGGCTTGTTGGCACTCCAACCATGGCTTTTTCTTTTCCATTAATTCAGATTGCCACCCTACTAAAATGTCTATCTGTCCTGACTCTTACCTAATAATTCTTTCCTGCCTAACAGGGATAGATAAGAAAGATGAAGTGAGTATTTGGTCTTGGCCTCCACAGGAAGCTGCATAGGTATCAAAGTCATTATGCCCATTTTGTTAACTGTGGTAACTCCTGCAGCAAGATTGAAAAAAAAAAAGCATCCCTCAAAGAGGTAACTTGCGCAGTTATGTCTGGATTTTATTGGTAAACTCCGATTCTCAAAGGGGTATTGTTTCTACACAGACCAAATGTCTCCTCAGCCATAAGCTACACTCCTAATCCAAGTCAAATGCTCCATTAAATACGATTTGCCAAAAGAAATCAAAGCACAGATTCAGTGTGATCTGAAAAAAACTAAAATGCATTCCTTAGACATAGTCATGATTATCTATGAAGGATAATGTACTTTGATACTTCACCAAGGCAGATTAAAAAATATTACAGTAAAGAAAAGCAGCTATTTATAAAATATTGAACAAGTAGAATACTGAAAAGGCAGGGAAATTGTGTTTCCAGTGTTGGGTTGGTGACAATGAGGACTTGAATTCCCATCAATCTTCTGCCAGTCTCCTGAAGATAAGCAATTCTAGCATCATCCCTATTTAAGCAGGTTCCTTAGAAAGCCCAATCTGCTAATAGACATGTTTCCTTTTTGACGAGAAAGAAATGGACCTTTGCTAAGGATAGTTTTTGGGTGTTAGCAGTCTTCTCCTCAAGTAATAATACACAGGAATCTCTTCACTTATAGACATGCAATTCACTCCACACAAGTAAGTCCTTAGAAATTAAGGGGCAGTTTTGTTCACAAGTGATTTATTCCCACCTCCATTCCCACTTGCATGACAATCCTTATGCTAGATTTTAGAAGGCAGCCATAAGACACAGCAAGAGATAGTTCTACTACTTAATTCCTCCATTTGTTAGCTTTGTGTGCATATGCCAACCTGAATACAGGAAAATCAAGGGTTTAAAGTGGCTTGTATACCATTTTATTTTTTTAATTGTTACAGCCATAGTCATTATATCATAAATCAGCACTCCTGCTCTCCCATGGTTGGCCTAAATGTTCATTTCTGTTTCAACTTTTGCCTATTCTCCTGACTCTACTATGCAAACCATTTTCATATCTTCATCACTCATAAGGCCCTTACTCAAAATTTCTTGATTACTTTTTCACCTAATTATATGGTATACTACTGATTTACTACCTTTTTCTTACATAAACAATGCTCCTTAAAAAGTGTAAGCATTTCTTCCTATCTGGGTTCTCTAACGTTGAATAAGACAAGCACTTTCATTGAAACTTCTCATATTGTTGATGCATTTTTCCTTCTTAGTATAGACTTAAAAGTGTGTAAAAACAGACATTCAAGATCTATGATTTGTAGAAGACAGAGAGTGGTGTTTTGTGGATTAGGTATATGGCTGTAAACAGACTAACCTTGTGTGCTCTTGCTCTTCCTAGATTTTAAAATCTTTTAGGTTTTTAAATTCTGTTCCCAGATTTTCTGGGTTGAACAAGATCTGCAAGGCCTTTCTCACAATACCTCTGCAATATTCAGTTTTCTTCCATTTCACTCTAACACAGCATTTATAAAGTTTCTGTTCCACTGATTTGTTTAATATTCTTTTGTAAGTTTCTTGAGCAAATTTTTTTTCTTTAATTTCACTGTGTTGGACTAGGGCATACTAAGGAGGGGAGACTGAGACAGCAATGAGTTTGCATTAAGGCTGGGTCATATAGAGGCCTATCACAGAAAGGAAGGGTTCTAAATGAAGGGGAATCAGAAAACATTAATGGAAAACTAGAATCACCAAAGGCAGAGACATCAAACTACAAGGGAACAAAATTCAAAGTTCTCACAAGTTAGCTAAATGTGTATACATTGTTGTTGGAGGTGGTGTTTGGCCATCATTCTTGAAGAGGACCATGACATCAAGAAGATGATGCCATGACTTGTAAGTGAATTAGATTTAAGTGAAGGAGGGCTGTGCAAGGTCACCAGCCTTAACTTCTCCTCTGGAGCCATCTGGGTCCAGGGGCAAGATCAGGACTGGAGATGGCCCCCAAACAGGTATACATAGGGCACAGTTCAAGGAGCTATCCTCCTTATGGGTCCCTTCTCCTTGTCCTTAGCCTCAAAGCTGCACCACTATCCCCAAAGCTGACAGGTATCAAGGACAAGTGATCAACTAAAGAAGCAAGTCAGGATCGATATCATGCTCAGAATTTTTTTTCTTTCTGGATTCTCAAATGCTGAATTAGGTAAATACCTTATAATGAAAGGTTTCCCATTTCAGTTAACTCAGTTTTTCTTCTTTGCATTAATTTGCAGAGAGTGAATTAAGAACCAATAAAATTTTATATGCCATTGACTACATCACTGGGTTTTTCTCCAGCATGGATTCTGAGATGTCGAATAAGGTGAGAATTCCTACTAAAGCTTTTCTTACATGCATCACATTCAAAGGGTTTCTCCCCAGTGTGGATTTTCCTGTGTCTATTAAGATCAAAAGACTGTCGAAAGGCTTTACCACATTTATCACATTCATATGGTTTCTCTCCACTGTGGATTCTTTGATGTTTAAAAAGATTTGAGCGATAACTAAAACATTTATTACACTGATTGCATTCATAGGGCTTTTCTCCTGTGTGGACTCCCTGATGTTGAATAAGCCGTGAGCTCTGTCTAAAGGCTTTCCCACATTCATCACACTCATAGGGTTTTGTTCCTGTATGGATTCTTTGATGTTTAAAAAGATTTGAGCGATATCTAAAATATTTATTACATTGACTGCACCCAAAGGGTTTTTCTCCAGTGTGTATTCCCTGATGCTGAATAAGCCTTGAGCGCTGAATGAAGGCTTTCCCACATTCATTACATTTATAGGGCTTTTCCCCAGTGTGGATTCTTCGATGTAGAAAAAGCTGCGCTCTATAACTGAAGGCTTTCCCACAGTCACTACATATATAGGGTTTCTCCCCAGTGTGAATTCTCTGATGTTGGATAAGGTATGCTTTCTCACTGAAGAATTTTCCACACTCTTCACATTCAAAGGGTTTCACTCCAGTGTGGATTCTTTGATGCTGAATAAGCCGTGATCTCCAACTGAAAGTTTTTCCACAGACATCACATACATGAGGTTTCTCCTTGGCCTGAATTTTCTGAGAATCATTAAGGACTAAACTAGAACTAAGCCTTGTTCCACATTCATTATATTCATTAGACCCCTCACTTGTATGAATTCTCCGGCAATTCCTTTCATGGGAGACTGAAATGCTTTGCTGATGAGTTTTTTCTCTAGTGGGGATAAGTTGACGCTCAACAAATGAAAGAATGAAACTTTTCTCACACTCATTCCAGTTGTGAGGATGCTCTCCTGGGTCAATTTCCTTATGTTTACTAAGATCCAAGTTCTGACTGAGGTTGCTGCCATGTTCATCACCTTTATCATTTCTGTCTCCTATAGGAACTTTTGGACAGAAGCTTTTCTGATATTCCTTATAATGCTGGCACCTTTCTTCTGTGAGACTATTTTTATCCATCATAGTCACTTCTCTCAGAGTTTCCTTTTCTCCCTTTAGTTTCTCCCCTGGGTGTCTTCCCTGTACACTTTTTAACTTGCCTTGATGGTCAAAGACTTCTCCAAATGGTATGTAACTGGGGACCTTCCTTCTGTAGTTTTCTCAATCTCTCTGAATGAAATTCTTCAGAACTTTCCCAGTTGGAGGCTGGCTTGTAGGTTGCTGTCCTAGTCTCACCACCTAACACAATAAACAGAAAAGGCCAATGTTAACTCTGTCCCAAAAGATAATAAATTTCTAAAATAACTCTCCTTATTCAGGAATTAAATCAACCTAATGTTCCAATTCATCAGCCAGAAGGTAGAGTACCATCAGCCTGTTTAGGGTTTCTATTGTTTAATGATGGTCAACTTTAGCTCCTCTTATGCCAGAGTAGTAGATGGAAGGTGGCCTAAATGAGCAACCATTGTGCTTAGCAGAAATTGAGTAGTAGAGTCAGAGAGTAATTCAGGGACAAGATTAGCGGGGCAAAAATATGATGAAAGTTTGGCAGAAATGGGAAATAAATGTGATTGTCAGAATGAAGAGAAGTAATAAAAGATGGTGGTGACAAAGAAAATAGATTGAACACAGAATTGAGGAACAGCTAAATAAGTATATGATAAAAGAATGAACAAAGAGGTTTGTACTTTTGCACTTAGAAGTATACTGCTTCGAACTGAGTGGCAGAAGGGTATAATAGTCTTGTAGTCAGAAGACTCAGGTTCAAGTCTGTCAGTTGTGTGAATAAATTACTTATTCTCTCTGGCCTGTTTCCTCATTTGTATAGTGGGGGTGATGTAATTTAATGTAATACTTACCTTATTAGGGTTGTTACAAGAAAAGTGCTTTGTATACCTTAAAATACTATATAAAAATGAGCTATTATTAACCTGTGTGAGGTTGATTACTCTTTCCCAAAGTGCTACATTACACAGCAAGCAGCATGGGGTACCTCACAAGAAAGAAACCAGTTTAGTCTGGGGACAATTCTCATCAATGGTGACTTCTCCTTATCTGACTAGGCAAGACAGTACTCTTTATTCTTTGCCTGCCCAATGAGCCTCAAAGTCAGAGTCTTGACCCAAGACTCCAATTATTTAGGAAACAAAGAGGACTTACTACACCCAGACCCAAATAGGCAGGCTCCCAGGGAAAAATACTGACACATAAATGGAAAGATAGAAAAGAAGGTAAACACCATAAATATGGAGGTCTCTGGCTTACAAGGTCCTTCAAAAGTTGCTCCTGAGAAGATCACCATGCTTCTCTCTAACAACTTGAATGAAGCAAATACAAATACCCAGGTCAGATCATGAACCCTGAGAAACAGCGTGATGTGGCAGAAAAGGAAGATAAGGATTTCGGTGTCAGAGGACCTAGTTTTAAGTCCAGGATATGCTACATGATACATGTGTCACACTGGATGAGTCACTTAACACCCCTCTATAAAGGAAAGGGTTGAACTAAATGATCAATGAGGTACCTTCCAGCTCTAAATCTAAACATTATGATCCTTAGCAGAAACATATTTATTGGCCTGCAGAGGTGAAGATCTTAGACTAATTTTAGTCTTTTCATTGCTTTATTATTCATTTCACTTATTCATTAACTTTTAGCTTTCCAGTGCTTCTCCTCTCCAGTGACAGATGCATGTTTGTGCTGTCCATCTAGTTCTGCATCTGACAGCTTGCATCTTGAGTGACAGATGGAGCCTAACAAACCAATATGGTTTTATTTTCCCAGCCAGGCCTCCTGTTTGGTACTTCTTTTTCTATTTTCTTTTTTAATATAGACTTAACCATCAACAAGCATGAACATTTCAATATACGAAGCTAGCAAAAATGTTAACAAAGAGAAATAAAAAAATTTATTGCAGCATTTGTTCCATCAGATTACCTGGGGACACCTTTTCTTGTATTATTTCAGGGTGACCTATACATCAAAAATGACATTTACAAAAACTCTTGCAGATACATCATAGATACTGCATGCTTTTTTTTTTTCAACAGAAAATGGCATTCTGCCATTTCACAGCCTGGAAAAAAACAATGCTTTCCTGGAAACTGGGCTAAACTAAAGAAAGCCATCTGCAGCTAAGTTAAACTCCAAGAATACTTTATTAAGAATCTTAACAGACTAATTTCCAACATTCATTTGTTTATTTTGTTAAACAGAAAGTTTTTTTCAAAATATAAACAATTTTTGTTAAACTATAATACAACAGGAGTAAAAATAAACCGAGAAGTTGTTGCTGCACAACAGCAAAGGAAGCTCCCACAAAAATGTTTACCAAACATTTCCTTCTTTTTTTTCCCTGTGTCCCAGGTCCCATTCTCACTCTTCATAAAACTGATTTTTTTTTGCCAAAATGTTGATATTTCAAGTTTTTTCTTCCTTTCATCTAAAACTCCTGTAATTTGTCTCATTAGCTAGAGGGCTCATGGACTGTATGGAAAACTCTCAACTTCCATCATACTCAATTTTTTTTTAATGTGTGTACTAAATTTAATCTAAAGGTAACAAAACCGCCCTGTTTGTGTCCCCTTCTAAACTTGTCTTGGTCTCTTTTAAATTTTTTTAAGGTTTCATTGAAACGATTTTATTTCCTACATCATGATCATTTCCCCTTTCCTTCCATGCCCTTCTTTATAAAAGTATAGTTAAGTAATTGACTACTCATTGGCCACATCTGAAAATATGTCTCATTCTGTAACCTAAGGACCACAGTTTATCATAATGTGAGGAGTACTTCCTGACTTTGCCCTACCTGAAAAGACTATGTAGTTATAATAAATTTTGTTGATATTCTGGATTAATACTGAATGCTTCCATGTGTGTTTTCTTTTTTTCCCCAAGGGACTCCAAGTTACCCAAGAGCAGGAATTTTGTCTTATTATATATCCCACAACATCTAGCACATAGTACTTTAATATTTTAAAATAGTAATCATTTCATTAATATGGGGATTCTCTCCACCAACACAAAGCTCAACCTTTTTGCATCTTAGTGGTATCTTGAGTAACTGTGGCCAAAGAAAATTCATCATGTGATGGCCAGTTTTCTGGTAATGAGTCACTGAATTTGAGTGAAGAAAAAACACACATACTGTCACCTGGCCTGTTCAGCTAGACAGGACTAGTCAGATTAAGTCTTGGAGAATCTTAATGCCATAATAAGAATTCAGAATGACTAAATTAGAAGATAATACAAAGTATGAGCTCAATATTATTCAATCAAATATGGGACAGAAGGGCTATTAGCTTGGTTTTTTTAAGGGCATCATTTTTTGAAGGCATCATTTTTAAAAAGGAACTCATTGGTAATTAAGAGAAAAGTAATACCATTTGGGGTGCAGGGAGGGCACTGCAGAAATGGAAAGTCAGTTGAAAAGAGCTCTCCTACAACTGTTCCCTATCAGTGACTGAGCATAAAAGGTACTTGGTGAACTAATGATGTAGCCAATATCTCACTTATGCTACTAATCAGCTACTAGTTATTCCACTCTTGATTGGATCTCCCTCAATCACTCACCTGGGCTGCTACTTTTCCAGACCTCTCTGTTCTCAGCTCCCTGAATATCCAAAAGCCATAGCTCTTTCTCTCGTTCCAACTGGGAAATCACAGCAGGTTTGGAAAATGATAATCCTATTAATAAGAGGAAATAGGTTAGAGGATAACTCCATACCCTGTTGGAAAATTTTTCTTCAGAAGGTAGATATAAAAAGAAGGAAGCATCCAAGGAGGCCATTTTAGGAAGTCTAGCAGGAAGGCAAATGAATCCATAGGGAATCCAGGAATAAATTTCTAGGAAAGTTGAGGCAGAAGGCGAGAACTGTTTATGACCTCTTTAATAGTTAGCATTTACACATGGCTTTAAAGTTTACAAAATGCTTTACATAAATAAATTCATTGAGGTAAGTGATATTATTATCCTTATTATCCTCATTATTATTATTATCCCTATTATTATACTAATGAAGAAACCAAGCCACAAACAGCATGCCCAGGTCACACAGTGAGGGAGTGTCTGAGGCAATGTTCAAATTTAGATCTTCCTAGACATCAAGCCTAGCCACTTTACTCTCTAATCACCTCTTTTTTTTTTTCCCTTCAGAAGAAATACCTTCATGTGGCAGGGGACTAAAAACAACTTTCTCACTTGACAAATAGCAAGTCATCCCTCAATCTTCTAAAACCGGAGTAAGAAGGAAGATGAGGAATGGGGCAAAGTACAAGAAATCTGGGCAACTTGGTGGTGCAGCATGCTGGGCCTGAAATCAGGAAGATTCAATTTCATAAGTTCAAATCTGGCCTCACATACTTCCCAGCTGTATGACATCAGGCAAGTCACTTAATCCTGTTTGCCTCAGTTCCCTCATCTGTAAGATGAGCTGGAGAAGGAAAAGGCAAACCACTCCAGAATCTTTGCCAACAAACCCCAAATGGGATCATGAAGAGTCAGGCACAACTGAAATGACCAAACAATAACAACAGAAAGAAGTTGCCCATTTCAACTCTCTGAGAGTCACAGTCCAAAAGATTGTGGAATAAAGTAGGTGCTTAATAAATGATTACTATTTAAAACAGTGCTTCTTTTTAAAAAATTTTTTTAAAGGCAATTGGGGTTAAGTGTCTTGCCAAGGGTCACACAGCTAGTAAGTGTTAAGTGTTTGGCCTGAGGCCAGATTTGAACTCAGGTCCTTCTGACTTCAGGGCCAGTGCTCTATCCACTGTGCCACCTAGCTGCCCCTAAAATAGTGCTTCTTAAACTGTGGGTCACAATCTCATTTGGGGTCACATAACTGAATGTGGGGATTGCAAAAAGCTTGGCAACAGTAAAAGGTTTCTGAACATGTGACTAAAAATTAATTAAAAATCAAACATTTAATGAATCCAAGGTGTTTTTTGGCCCACGTTGCATCACGCAACTTCACTACAGCCTTGGTTCTGAACATACAACATGTGAACTTTGCACTGCGTATGCTGTCACGCCACATAACACCAATTAGCCCTGCAAGAAACACCTTGGCTCACATTCAAGACTACTGCACATTATGAATTGCAGTCTTTTTACTGTACATACAAAATCATTAAATGAATTTTGGCTTGAGATTAGAAGAGAATTTCCAACAATTTCTGAAATGGCCCTAAACATACTCCTATCATTTTGTACTACGTATTTATGCAAAGCAGCATTCTCAGCACTGACAACTATAAAATCAAAATATCGATCAACCCTGAAAAATGTTGAAGATGCTCTATGTCCTACAGTATCAAATATTCCACCAAGATTTAATTCCTTATGTAAAAATAAACAAGTACATCCATCTCATTAGTATGCAAATTTGCTTTCATCTTTAATAAATGGTAATACTATATGTATACCAAAGAATTGTTTCAAAATAAATTGCTTTATGATTTATTATCAGTAAATGTTTGATTTGTATACCCACTTTATATACCTATATGCCTGGGGTCATGTAAAAATTTCTCCGGTGAAAAGGGGTGGCGAGTGGAAAAAAATTAAGAAGCTCTGGTTTAAATGATAAGGGAACTATCACATATGTAGAGAGAATAGAAATTTTCTTGCTATGACCTTACAAACAACTCAATGTTCCCTACCTCTGGTAACTCAGAGGCTACAGAATTAGGGAACTAATTCTTGAGCCTCAGCTCATAATCCTTGCTCGTAATCATTGTTATGAACACAGGGAATAGCAAGGGACTGATTTTAATAAGGCAATAGGCAGGGAGGGAAGTTCTTACCCAATGAGACAACATTCTCATAATTCTCCAGCATGACATTCCTGTAGAGGTCTTTCTGATGCAGGTCCAATTGTACCCATTCCTCCAGAGTCAAAGACAGGGCCACATCTTCAAACGTCAACAACTCCTGAAACAATATGTTCCTGCTGCCCCAAGGACAATTCCACAGAAACATTGAGGACAAGAGAAGGGAAGGATGCAAGGTAAGGGTATCTGCTGGTGTAAATAGTTTTTAAAGTGTTTTTGTTTATAGGAGCAAAAAGAAATGCAGAGGGAATGTCAGGACACCAAAACTCTTAAGTCCTATATAAATGTAACTTGGTCTTACAGAGACACTTGAGAGTTTCTATCTGAGGATATTAACAACAAAAAAGAAAAGGAAATCATCACTCACCTGGGGCTCAGTGGTCAAAAGTGTTACTGCTAGGACTACAGGGTGCTGCTTCTCTTGAGGAAGGGCAGAAATACAAGTGGCTGAGGGAAAAGAAGTCACAGGTGAGTCCAGCTTCTGGACAGCCCACCTACAGAACTCATTTTCAAGAACAGTCTCATTCCAACCCTTTTACAATGTTAAATTCTCATCAATGTCTATTTATTGAGCTCCTAAGTTCATGGAACCTAAGGTGAAGAAATTCGAGGTATTACAGATACCTATAAAATATACTTTACACACACACACACACACACACATACACACACACACACACGTTCATTGTGCATGACACCAATACCCTTGTAATAAAGACTAAGATAAGTACTTCAACAGTACAGAAAGGAAATTGCAGAAAAAGCACATGTGACCAACCAGACTGAGGATAAGACATTTTCTCTGATGCTCTACAAACTAGGAATTATGCACAAGAGATAAATCCATTCCACAATCTAGTATGGCAAGAACTCAAAGGAGGAAACAATTCAATGAACTAATATCAGAAAAGACAATTCACTAGGCACTAATGCACTCACTCAACTTATCACCCAACACACTCCAGTACTGCAAAAGAATTCACCTCCATACTCCATCACCCACACCCCTCCCAGTGCCACAGAAATTCAAAAGATAAACACTTGAACACAGAGATCAGCTAGAGAACCTATAAAAAGAGAGAACTAGAGCAGAACACATGAGTGAGGTTATGTGGAACTCCACTAAGCCTGAATGAGCCTAGTATCCAACTGGAGCCAGATCTGTTCCCCCAGAGGTCACTTGGGGGAGAGACTAAAGCAGATGAACAATGAATTAATGACACTGTACAGGAGGAGGTTGAGATGGCTTTGAGGTCCAGCCCCCAAAGAAACTTTTATCAAAGGGAAAGCAGTCAGAAAGTGAATATGGGCAAAAGACTAAAATTACCAAAGATCTTGGGAGGAAGAAAATTCAGCTAGAGACTTTGAGCATAAGCAGATAAACCAACAGTGAAAATTTTAATAACAAACAGGAATATGGTTCCAGATCAGCAAAAAGACATCTATCAATAAATATTGCAAGACAAAGCACTTGATTAGGGCAGAGGAACCCATGGATTTCTACGAGAATATGGAACCTCAACAAAATGTTCCTAAATGGTTTAAAAGAGAAATAAGAATTGCAAAGCAGAATTTATAGCATGCACACCAGAAATAATCGGCAGAATAGAAAGACTTGAATCAACATTGACAAGTCCCACCAAAGAAACAAAAGGGAGGGTAACTGATTGGGAATGCAAATATATGGAAGTGAACTGGAAATAATGGGAAAAGAAAAACAAAAAATAATAATATTAAAAGAAAACCTGCTCTCCATACATCAGTCTAAAAAATTATAGGCCTCCCATAAGAACATGACAAGACAAAAAACCTGAATACCAGGATGCAATAAATAACACACAAAGCTTTCCAGAACTTCTGAATACAGAAAATAAGATGCAAAGATGACAAACAATTCATAGCAACCAAGGACAAAAAACAAAAACATTAAGAGATTTCTATCTAAATGTACACAAGGAGACATAAGTAAAAGCAGAAATCAAGTAGAAGTGACGGTGGAGATAAAGCCTCTCTCATGGACTAAATCTCCTAACACCCTGCCTAAAAATGAATCAATTTTTTTTATGGGACTAAATTTAGACAATGAAAGAGGCCACAAAAGGGTGGAAGGAAGAAGATAGAGGGGAATGTGTGCTATACCCTAATAAAATCAAAGGGGAAATAATTCCTGTAGTACCTCAGGAAGAAGAGAGCCTACAGAAGAATTGCGTGAGGATGCAAAGGGAGGGACTGAAAAAGGAACAAAAAAAATTGGGAAATCTTATTTCAGTGGCGGGAGAAGGGGACAAAGGATGAAATGTTCCCGTGGAAGAAAGGAGCATCTCTAATAAGGGAGATGACCTTACTATGGGCATAATCTGCAGGGATTTGGTACTTAGGGAGAACACCCTTTCTGTGTCAGGAGAAATATACAGGAGAAAGAACTGTAAAAGCGGGAGGACATCAAAATAGGGAAGAGATTTCTGGGAAAAATAATCATGGGGAGGGCAATGGTCAATAATAATTGGCACAATCAAGAACATGAGAAAATTCTATCACTTCCAGGAATTGGTGAGTCACACAAATCAGTGAGTATACCTTTTAAGAGGGAGGTAAGGGGCAGTTAAATGGTGCAGTGGATAGAGCATCGGCCCCAGATTCAGGAGAACCTGAGTTCAAATCCGGCCTCAGACACCTAACACTTACTAGCTGTGTGACCTTGGCAAGTCCTTTAACTGCACTGCCTAGCCAAAAGAAAAAAAAAGAGTGAGGTAAAACAGAAAACAGGGAGATGGTGGAAAAGATCTACAAGGCAGAAACAGTGTTTAGAAGAAGAAACCCAAAATAGGTATTTTAGAAGTATGAATTCCATAAAGAATACAGCAAATAAAGCAGGACTAAATAAGTATAAGGGCTGGAATCAAAGAATTAACAATATAAAATAGAGAAGGGAAGACAAATAATGAAAACAATGAAGGGGAAAATCATTTTAGGAAAAATGTGCAGGAAATGACACTTTAAAACCTAACAAACAAAACAAAGTGAAGGAGAGCAGAGGAAGGGGAATTTTACTTAACTACTTAACAGACAAGAGAAAAAGGTAAAAGAATTAAATAACTAGATAAAAAGCAAGAAAGTAAAAGGAACCAATATGTTTAGCAAAACTCCATACTAGGGCAAGGGGTAACAAATTCAAGGAAGCAGGAAAGCCAGAGGAATAAGAGGAGGACATTAAGCTAAAATAACCAAAGAGATATAATGTTGTTTACAGAGGAAGAAAGCTTGTTGGTATTTAGTCATTTTTCAGTCATGTCCAACTCTTAGTGACCCCTTTTGGGGTTAAGATACTAGAGTGGTTTGCCATTTCCTTCTCCAGTTCATTTTACAGATAAGGAAACTAAGGCAAAAAAGGTTAAGTGACTTGCCCAAGGTCACACAGCTAGTAAGTCTCTGAGAGATTGTCTAATATGAAAAAAGAAAAAACTACTGGAGACAAATAGAGGAAAACGAAACCTAACTTAATGCAATAAACCAAAAAAAGAGTGACAGATCAGATGAGAAAATGAAACCTCACAACTTGCTGCTTACAAGAAACATATTTAAAAGACAAAGACAAACACAGAATAAAACTGAAGGGATGAAAAAAATTTTATTCTGTATCATGTACATCCCCAAAAGCAGGATTTGCAATTATGCTATCAAACAAAGCAAAAACAAATATTCAAAACATAAAAAAGCATAAACTAGAAAATTATATTATGCTGAGTGGAACCATAAATAACAAACCAATATCAAAATTAAACCTATATGCTCCAAATGCTTTAGCATCTTAACTGATACACAGAACAAAAAGAAGATATACACAGTAACACAATAGTGCCAAAAGAATTTAATGTCCCTCTTTCAGTTCTAAGTAAGTCTAACAGAAAGATAAACAAAAGGGAAAATACAAAACTGAAAAACTATTGGAAAAACTGGAGCTTATTGTACCTTCTAATGGTACTGCTAAAGAATATACATATTTCTCTGTACCATATGGAAGTTGTACAAAAATTTACAATGTACTGCAAACAACTGTAAAACAGCAGAAATGATAAATACATACTTTACAAACCATAATGCAATAAAAAGATTAGAGTCATCAGTTCAGGGACTGTAACTAAAAGACTCAAACGCAGATTTAAAAGTAAAATCCTAAATAACGAATTAGTCACAGAACAAATCAAAGAAACAATTAATACTTATGTAAAAGATTATGTGAAAATTAATAATAATTGTAAAATATGCCAAAGTTTTTTAGATATAGCTAACAATCCTCAAAGGGAAAATCATAACCCTACAAATATACCTTAACAAAAAAAGAGAGAGGATTAATTAACTGAATAGGCATTTTAAGAAATTAGAAAGTCAACAATATAGGAAAATAAAATAAAATGAACATCAAAGGAGATCTTAAAAATTAAAGAAGAAATAAACTGGAAACCAAAAAATCTGTGGAAATGATGAAAATAAAAGCCAGCTGTTTAAAAATACTAATAAGATTAATAAAACCTTTTGCCAACCTGATTTAAAATAAGGCACACAGAAAGTTAAATCAATAATATAGAAAATGAGCAAAGTGAAATCACAATAAAACCAGGAGAAATAAAAATAATAATCATAATCCAGAACAGTTACATATACTAACTGAAAGAACAAAAGAAACTAAGAAATATGTTTTAAAACATTAAATATAAAAACTAAAATATAATTAGCTGTAAAGGACCTACCAAAGGGAAAAAAAATCCTGGTCCTGATGGATTCCAGGGAGAATTCTATCAAACTTTTAAATAATAACTGAAGTCCATAGAAAATTATTCTCAACAACTGAGAAAGAATTATACCAGATTCCGCTTATGAGATATAGCCCTAAAACCTAATCCAAGGAAAGATAAAACACAGAGCAATAAATGTAGACCAATATCATTAATGAATATAAATTCAAAAATTTTAAATAAAATCCTACTAAACAAACTATAGCGATTCATTCAAGAAATCACAGATTTATATCAGGGATGCAAGAATGTTTCATTATTAGGAAAACAATCAACATAATTAATCTATTAAAAAACAAAAACATCTAAAACATCTAAAATAATTGTCTCAGTGGCCTGAGAAAAGTCTTTGATAAAGTATAACTCATTCAGGCTAAAAAAACTCTACAAAGTATAGGCACAGAGGGCTGGAATTTTTTTTAATCATAAAAAAATCTATATGACAACAAAAGCAATGGGGATACATTAATTGTATCTAATTGTAATTAGAATATTTCTAATAAAATATGGGAATAAAGAAAAGATATCCACTCTCTGCACTATTGTTTGATAAAGCTCTAGAAATGATAGCAGTAGCAATTGTATAAGAGAAAGAAATTAAAGGCAAAGAGGAGATAAAACCATTCCTATCTGCTGATGATATAATAGTGTACT